CTTGTTAGGAAGTATTATTCACATTCAATCGATATTCGAAAATCTACTTCGCACATCAGCACATGGACCATATTAATTATAAACAACAAAATTAAATTGCATTTGCTATTTAGCCATCAGATTTGGCAACATTGCTTCTATCAATTAATTGATCTCGCCTTTCCTCCTGTTTTTACATCAAAAGGTAATTTGATTTTAAAAAAAGCTTACCGATTAGGTGTAAAAAAAAATAAACAAATAACGTAAAATAAATTACCATTGGTTGGTGAGAACTTATTGATTTTAAACTATTGTTACGCCTATAATTGCCTGTTTTATTTAGTTATTCGTTTCTATTTTTTTTTTTAAATGTGACTCATAAAATGTGACTCATAAAAATAAAATGAAACAAAAAATTATGTCTATTAATATATATAAATTAAAATTTAATTTTGATTTTTTGAATCGTAATATAAGATATTTCAAACCTAAGACACTTTTCTTTAACAAGTTTGTTATGTTTAAGAAAAAGATATAATAACATATTAAAACTATGTTAAGGAGAAAGTCAAATAATCAATTTATTTATATACTGATCAAAATAATCAATTTATTTATATACTGACACAACTATATAAAATAGGACCTACAATCGAGTACATTAAGCACAAACCAAATAAAAATTAATTATAACTGTAATCTAGACCAGCGTTTTCCACATGGTGTTCCGTGGAATAATAGGGCTGCGTAAAAGGATCACAGGGGTTCCGAGAGTTTAAATTTTTCAAAAGAGTAATAATTTTTGAAATTTTTCATTGTACTTCTATTAAAACAATAAATCATAATTTCTTTGATAGTTTGATAATTTTTATGAAATTATGTAAGTAAAATGCCAGTAAAAAAAGAAAAGGCAAAATTTATACAATTTTGTATCTGTATTTATTTCTTTAATTCAAAAGCAAACGCCCAGACTCAAGAATAACGAATTGCTTCTTTGATAACTACTCTCAAAGTTTATAAGAGTTCTTTTCCGAAAACTATAATTCAGCCTATTTTATTCATTTTGACCACCAAAAAACAAATTCAGAACTAGACTAAATGCCACTCCAGGCCTGTGAATTCAACTGTTTGACACAAAACATATTATTTTAAAGAGTTTTATTGACAAAACGCTCAGCGAAAACAATTTTTCACTCTTCACATTAAATATTATAAAATATAATTTGCAGTCTTTTTTTTTTCTTTCGTAAATATGTTTACGGCTGCTAATAAATTGCATTTTTATATTTGGGGTTCCTCCAAAAGATGCTCAATCATTTAGGGTTCCGTAGTAAATCTTAAATTATCAAACTTTTTTTTTTTAATTAAGGAAAATTAAAAAAAAAAAGAATCAATCAGATCATTTAAAATGAACTAAATTTTACGGCCAAGAGATAAAAGAAAATAATATTAAAATTAAAAAAACACACTTTCAAACGAAAACATTGAAGCGAAATAAAAAAAACATCTATAGAATATTAATCATGACAGTAAATATCCTCCCTTCTAACCTTTAAGTCTTCATTCGATTAATATCATTCTGAACGCTCAACTAACGCATCACACTATGAATCATAATTCAGAGAGAACATGTTTATGTCATCACACAACCTGATCTACCAACAAGAAATCTACTCCTGGTACCATTTATCATACCACCTAGGCCGCTTTACCACACAAAATTTACCAGAACATTTTTTTCTTTTAGAGACCGGAAGCCCATATAGGCATGAGGCACAATTACAATAAAAGATGCATCGTTTGATGCGGGATGAGTGTGATGTTCAGGAAGAAGGGGGAGTTGGCCGATCTTAGGGGAGCCTGTTTGCTCAACTTTGATATTGATTAACCCAGTTGCAGACGCCGCATCCATACAGTACGTTACTTTAGTCTGGGTGGAGGAATAAGTTTCGGATATCCATTTCTCCCCAAAATATCGCCAGGAATTATCTCCTGGAAAAGGAATTCAATAGCTCGTTTCCAGGAAAAATGAGTAACGGCGTTGAAAATTTTCTGGCAAAACTGCATATTTATCGGGAAAATACTGTCTGTTTTTGAGTTTTTGGTTTATATCTGAAACATATTTTACCTCCGAAGCTATCTATATGCTAAACCAGGCCTGTCCAACTCAATAAATTTAGTAAAAATTTGTCATTCCGGAAGGAAATATTGAGTATCATAAATGTATGAACATGCATGAAAAATAACTCGAAACTAAACGTATTGCGGTTGTTTTTATAAATATTCATAAATTAAGGATTAAACAACTACTCTTTAATAAATCAATAACACGATCAAATAAGATTATTTTAATTATAAATCAGCGCCGTGTTTGCTTCTTTTTAACACAATTCATTTTCCCCTGAATTTAACACGGACTCTTAACTCTAATTAGGCAGGGTTGCAGCTGCTACGGGTTGCTTGGTTCTGTGCTAACCTATACATTTGATTTTCTACTTATTTGGGGGGGGGAAGCTTTAACAACACCAATGAATAAATATACTGTTCAATATAGAAACTAATATCCAAACGGATCGTGGGCTTGAATCATGTTGCAGACATTATATCTATGGGAAAGAGAGAATTGAAATTTTTCTTTATTTAGGTCTATGCAAGTCTGCAAATAATTCTTCAAGAAGGAGAGCTCGTGTTGATATTTGACTCAGAGACAGGTCTTCTGAGTTGTATTTGAAACTAAGTGAATGCAGAGAGGAACACTGGTTTCTTTAGCTTCACCTATTCGTTTCATAGTTTTTTATTTTATAACCGTCGTTGAACAGCCAACCCAATTTTTTGTGTTTACGATTACTAATATTCAACTCCGTAGCCTTGTAATTTTTAACCTAATCCAGAAGAAAAGGTCAAGTATTGGGAGAAATTTGCCTTTGCGAAGCACTTTTTGTTGGAACTAACCCGCATTTGCATTACATGGAGAGGTAAAAATAGAAAACCTCCCACAGTTAACCTGACGGCAAGTGGACTCTACCCATGATCCATCTACCACAGAGGATATTTTACGTCAGTACGGTGGTTGGTGCAAGACGGATGCGGAATTCGTATCAACCAGGGGATTCGCTGGGATTCGAACCCGGTTCACCTTATTGGTTGGCGAATGCTCTATCCCCTAAGCCACCCATCACTGCTTTCATAAATTGCAATGCACCCTACTCTAAACTCGATAAGGGAAAAGCACTAAAACTCAATTTCATTAAAATAACTCTAATCCGAAGATTCGACGCCACTAAAATAACGCCAAATTATGCAGATTTATAAAGATTCTGAAAATGACAGGCGATATTTTTTTAACTTTCTTATTAATATTATTTTGCTTCATTTTAACGATCTTAAATATCTTTCTTGAATGAAAACATTGTACAGAATCGAGAAGAACTTCCAACAAAGATTCACACAATAGCTGCCGTATCAAAATTGATTGGCATTAATGGAGATTAAAATAACTCGGCGCGCCAAGTTTAGAAAACGAGATATGTTTCAACTCGGAATTCTTCTCAATATAAAAGAGGGGCCAAGCAAAAAAATTCATATCGACCACAGACGAGTTTCCGTGGTAACGGGACGAAAAGGAAACAATTACGAGAAAAGGGTAATGACAAACTTCAAGGTCCTTTCACTTGCAGCCAAAATGTGAACAATAAAAAAGAAGCGGGACAGTAGTGAATAAAAATAAAATAAAGTAACAAAAGATACACTTTTTTGTTGGGATGAAATAAAAGGATGGGGGAATCGCAGCAGGAAATTGTTACAGAGGAACGAAAGTGGTAGGCCTACAATCATGACTTAATACATCAAGTAATGCACCAATTGTATAACTTCCATTCCAAACTCTTTAAACTTTATTGCCAGTTGGAGAACGCAGAATGAGACCTCTTATAATGCAGAGAAATGGATTTTGAAAAAGAAAGAAAGGAAATTGTAAAATAAACATGGATGAAATTGAAAGAAGAAAAAAAGGAACGACTTCACCAAGACAAGTTTTTTGAACTCCGTGGAACGTGGGCGAACTGGACTGGATTTTCGGGCTAGGGTAAAACTTGACGCTTTTCTCAGCGTCTCAGACAAATCAGAACAGGTCAAGTGACTTAAAACAGCAATTAAATTGAAAATGGAGTCCATGGGAGACCGCGTTGAGATTAAAGATAAGTAATAATAGTCATTGATGATTTTCATTAAAACTTGTGTTTAGAATCTCGGCATCGTTGTGATTTATTCACCGCCGATAGACTCCTTTTTTTACGTTTTTAGTTATTTTTTATGATAAAAGATAAGAAATAAGAGTCATTGATGGTTTTCATTGAGACCTATGTTCAAAATCTTTGATTTATTCTCTGCCGGTGGTCTTCTTCTTTTAAATGTTTAATTATTTTATAAGATTAAAGGTGTTAGCGGATGCAGAGTGTCGTTTTTTTCCCTATAAAAACATATATTTTTAAAAATCTGATTCGTAAATAAAATAAATTCAGAAAATAATGTGTGTAATTTTAAAATAATTAACTTTTCTTCACTATTTCTTTAATCCGGGTGGTCTTCTGTTCTTTATATTTTTAATTATTTTACAGATATAATCGAGTTAGAGAATTCAGGTTGTTGTTATTTCCCCCAAAAAGTCAGTTGCGTACTTTATACAAATTTTAAATCATCAAATATATACAAAAAATTAAAAACAATTAACAAAATTTTGTTTTAAGATTAATAACTTTGATTATGATATGGCAGTTCCTTTGGTGTTCCAAAGGGAAAAATCCAAACTGGAAAAAGAAGATAATGCATTTAACAAGATTTACGTTTTAAAAAAAAAAAACTATTTATAAAACTATGTACATTTTTGCAAACAAGTTAATGCTAACAAATCAATTACACAATAATGAAATGTAACAGTGTTATGAACTGTTAGAAAGGCATGTCAAATTATGCAGAACTAGTTAACGTAACATAATACAAAGTGATAGATTTAAAGCACTTACCACGGAATTTGGCAGCGCTAGTTGCCAAAATACTCCGCAAAAATGCATTGGAAGACTGCAACATGTTTTGAAATTCTTTTTTACTAGCTTCTGAATACCGCCTCTCCATTGTTGGAGTGCAGCAAGAATTGTTCCACGAACTAGAGCAAAGTGGCGTTTCATCTGGAAAGAGAATTTTTTAAAAATTTTACATTATTATTGCAATTTAAGGTAATAAATATAGATGAAATATAAAATTAATAAGGCTCAGTACAGAAGATGATGAATGGCTTGGTTTACAAATAAAAAGAAGAAGAAAAAGTGTCTATTTTTAGATGTTGAACTATTTTGCATCCATTAAATGAAATCCACAAGGAGTTAGTTATATTCGTTGAAGTAGGAGAATGGTGACCTTAGTAATCTTCGATTTTCTTTGCCTCCCCGTTTTTTTTTTTTTTTTTTTTTTTTTTTTTTTTTTTTTTTTTTTTTTTTTTTTTTTTTTTTTTTTTTTTTTTTTTTTTTTTTTTTT